TTTATTGGCACACTATACGTAGCTTTTTAAAACATTTTTCTGAAAAGTAGTAATTTTTAAAAGCATTTTGTATGTGCATTTTTAATTGAAGTATAGTCAGTTTACAGTGTTGTGTCAGTTTCTGGTGTACAGCACAATACTTCCGTCATATAGGAACATACATATATCCATTTTCATATTCTTTTTCACCATAAGTTACTATAAGGTATTTAATATAGTTCCCTGTGCTACACAGTATCAACTTGTTATTTCTCTATTTTATATATAGTAGTTAGTACAAATCTCAAACTCCCAATTTATTCCACCTCTTTTCCCCTTGGTAACCATAAATTTATTTTGTATGTCTTTGAGTCTGTTTCTGTTTTGTAAATAAGCTCATGTGTGTCTTTTTTTTAATTCTACATATAAGTGATATCATATTGTCTTTTTCATTCTCCTTCTGGCTTACTTAGTATGATAATCTTCAGGTCCATCCATGTTTCTGCAAATGGCATTATTTTATTCTTTTGTATGGCTGAGTAGTGTTGCATTGTACATATATACCACAACTTCTTTATCCAGTCATCAGTCGATGGACATTTAGGTGGTTTCCATGTCTTGGCTGTTGTAAATAGTGCTGCTGTGGATATTGGGGTGCATGTATCTTTTTGAATTAGAGTTCCCTGTGGATGTTTTCTTGATAATATTATAGAGCCCTTCCCTCCCAATATTTGTGTATTATTAGCAAATCACAGCAATAGTGTCTGAAAGTATATGTGACGGGTTTTCATTTCTAAGTCTTCACCAGAAATCACATCATTATGTACTGTGTATTTTGCTTTTTCCACCTCATCAGTTAATCATAAACATTTTCCATATTGTTAAATTGTTGTTATAATTACCATTTTAATGACCTCATTATATTCATAATTATTCTACTATAATTTCTTTAGCCATTTTTTCCCAATTAGATATTTAGAATTTTTTTCTTAACCAGATATTTCAATATTTTGAATTTTATTTCTCTCAAATTTTAATTATTATATAAAACATTGACATAATATACATTTTATGCACATGGCTTCACTTTTATTTAGGATCAGCTCCTTAGGAAAAGTCCCCAGAAGTGATGCAGCATGTCAAAGTATCATTGTGTTTTGATACGTGCCAGCTCTTATCATAAGTGCCAGCACTAAGTCTTATAAACAAGGCATTTTTTTAAGTAATAAAATAAAATATTTCCCATGTTTATCAATTATTTTTCCTCTTTTGCTCACCAATTATCACTGCTTATGCTTTATAAACTTATTTTTTATGGATCCTATGTTTTTCTTACCAATACATAATTTTCTGCAATAACAAATATTAAAATATGTAATTTTCTGTAATAACACAAATATTCTTCCCATATTGATGTTTCAAAATTATGTAAGGATGAAGATCAGTTTTGGAGATTAAATGTACTTATGGATTTGATTTATTTGGGGATAGATTATCAAGAAAAGTTAAAAAATAAAACCTGTGAAGAATTGTGCCAGTGAGTTTTGCTTATCAGTGTGATGAAAAGCTAGGAACCTGTACTTTCTAATAGCATTAGTATCTGGATATCGGTGTGACAGACATTGTTTGTTGGCTCACCAGACACTTGTTTCTAACACTCTTCTGTCTTATATGTCTCTTTTAAAAAGGATGAACAAGCTAAAATATTCAGTTACCAGATCATTGTAAAACTGGAGTAGGCTTTATTACATAGTTCTTGCCAATAAAATATAAGCGAGACTATATAGACATCTCTGCCCTCCACTTTCCCTTTCTCCTTCCTTGAATTATGTTGCGCTGGCTGGAGCTACAGCAGCCACTCTGCAATCCTGATGAGAAAACTAGGAGGATGACAGATAAAGTGACCCTGATTTTGTTAAGACACCGAAACAATACCTTGAACAATGAACTTCCTACCCACCCCAAACTTATGATGTGCAAAAAATAAAACCCCAGTTATGTTTAAGCAACTATAATCAGGCTTTCTGTTCTTGGCTGTGGGGAAAGAATCCTATTTAACACATCTAAGCTGGGAGGAGAGAAAAATTGGGTCTCTGTTTTATTAAGACACACTTTTAAACTAACCCAAAGCCAGATTTATTTATAAACTTGCTGCTGTGAGTCCATGGTAACTGGCCAAAGTAGATAACAGGATTTCTAAATTTCATTTTCCTTTTTCCCAGATCATATCCAAAGAGTGAAGGCATCTCCTGGAGCAAAAGTAAAAAAGATTTTTAAAATATTTATGACATTTACCAATTGAAGAACATAATTTAAAGCATTCCTATACTCACTACCCAGAGAAGTGAAATTCCATTTAGCATTTACAGTAAATATTCAGGAGACACTCCATCCATGCCTCTCCATGTCCACCCATTTATAACCATTTCTTACCCATTTATAATATATTGAGAACATGCCATCTGACAGGCTGTGTGTTCCATGCCAGGCTTGTAAAGAAACAGATACGCTCAGTCCCTGCCTTTGAGGATTTCACTTCCAGGCTGGGTGTGGGAAGTAAGAGGAGGCCATTGGAATACACAAATATTTTTGATACTGTGTGAGATTAAAAAGGATAGAGTACTAACGTGAGATTCACAGAAGAGGGCAAAATGGAATAAGTATTACCCAAGACCCCACAGCCAGTAAATGGTAGAAGTTCCTTTATTTGAGGTCTTCTGGACCAGTCATTTTATGATACCAACCACTGGTGGAAATAAATAGCTGAGATATGGAACTATTTCTGCATTATAAAAATGCTTTTGCATGTTGTTGTATAGAAGTTGACTGGTATGAAAGGATTGCCTCTGACCTATCAACATGGCGTGTGCTATGAGATTTATTTTCCCCAGGACTCTACCTTCTTTTGACCTGTTATGTGCTCTGCTGGATGCTGGGGTAACACACGGGTATCAGGTGCGCTGCCCCATCCCGAGGGGCTGGTTTCTTGTTCATATTCTCCTTGCTGCCAGCGAGGCACCTGACTGAGGAGGGTGTGATGACCACTTCATGCCCCACGACCAGGCCATCCATTCTAGAATGAAGAAAAGCAACCAGGAAGATGCGTGGAGGAAAAAAGTATCCGATCTCAGCACTGCAGCACACGGAAAGAGACTGAGATTGTTCTCTCTGTAAAAAGGGATCTTTTCAATTGACTCTCGAGGAAAATGAGTTGTTAAACATCTGTCTTTCCCCTCCCACGGCTGTTGTTTACAGAGGAACAGACTTCTCTTAACTCTGAAGTAATGTCTCCTTTCTTTAGGAAAACAGGTGTCCAAACATGCAGCAATTCTCATTTTTAAAGAGCTGAAATAAACTTGAAGACTTTACACATTTCTTTATCCTTTTATCTAGAAATCTTTTGTGACACAATTTCCTAACTTGAAACTTTGTTTTTCCGTGGGACACTGATGGCCAATCTTCTTTTTTTTTTTTTTTTGCTGTCACATCCCTGTCTCTCATATCACTATTCTTTCGATGGAAAATCTATTTTTTTAAATATAATATCCAATTATTGATCTTTTTCATTTAAATGAAATGTACTTTATAAACATGAAGACTTCACAACCACACTGAATTCTGTCATACTAAACGTCTTTAATAAGCAGAAGAAAGAGAAACTGAGCTCATATTGATCAATATTCTGGGGATTTGAAATATTCCTTATCACTACATGTCTTAAGTATATGGCAGCAAGGATTATATTCCCTTTTATGGATGAGAAATTCAAGGCTAATAGAGTTCATATACTGTTCACATGATCAGAAAACAGTAAAATCAGGATTCGAATCCAATCTTTATCCAACTTCAAAAACCATGCATTTTTTGCCTCAGCATGTTCCTCCGAGTCTTCACGTAGCAGTTTGTTGAGCAGTTAAGTCAGAATCAACCTATGAGTCTCTATTGCTAACTAGCTGGGATGCCGTGGATAAAGTATCCATTCTGTGTGTCTAAATCCCCTTCTCTGTGGGATGGCTACAATGACAACACCTATCTCCCAGGACTTTGGTAAGAAGTCACTGAGTTACTGCCTGTAAAAGGGGTCAGAACAGTACTGGCACATGGTAAATGCTCAATAAAGTTGCTTGTTAATTGTTGTTATTATCCGTTACTTTGTGGGTAAGGACAAAGGGTACAGGTCATGGCTTCGCCTTCATGTGTTATCTCAATACAACTGAATAGGTGGTTCTAAATAAATGGTGGGTGGTTTTTTTGTTTGCTTTTTTAAGTTTTAGTGTTTGTATATGAAGGATCATCCTCATTCTTTTCCATTGGTTGGTAAATTTATGGGCGAGAAATGATATCTCTTAGTAAGATGGTTTACAAACTTTTTTTTTTCCAGCTGTGAAACCCTTTTTTAAAAAAAGGTGGAAGCACTGCTGCTGTATCTGGGGTGGGGGGAGTTGACTCCCGGATCTCCATGCGCCCTCCTGCCCTTTAGTACCCCAAGTCGCTCATTATTGTCTTGGGGGTCCTTCCGGGAAACCCTGAAGGTTGATGTAAGGCAGACTGAGAGCCACTTATCCACAAAGCACACGATGAAACACATTGGACAGTGAGTGATAAACACTATTCATTCTTAATTTCTGTGACAGGCCTGTGTGCAGGAGTCCTTCCTCCCAACCTCAGATCATCTTCACTCTGTTTCCATTCCTATACTCACGGTTGACTGCTTTGTTTAACTGACAGGGTCTACAGTTTGGTACCAGTGAACTGGAGGAGATGGGAGCCATGTTCTGCTTGGGCCTCCTCATCTTGGAACTCAAATCCGTAAGCTGCAGCCATCAGTTCCTGAGCCACGCAGCATCTCTACTGAACGCTGAGGAAGAGGCTCTGGACCATCACCTCCAGAGGTAAGATGCTCACGAAGTGGGGGTGGGAGATATTTGGATCTTTGTGTTTCCATTGGAGAATAACTTGGAACTGAAAGTCAAATGGACCTATGGGTCTTTGACAAATGGAAGATATGGAGGAGCTGCCAAATGAAGGTAGGACAGTAGTGATTACTTACCGGAGCCAGAATCGGGACATCCCCACTTCTTGCTGAAGACAAGGAGGATGTGGCTTCCTTGTACACATAAATGCAAATATAAAGCTACACATTTATAAATACGTACTTTTATTAAGTTTTGCTTACGGCAAAAAAAAAAAAAAGAGAGAGAGATGCCGCTTAGGGACACACGCGCACATTTGTTTATGTTTGCCAGTTATGTGTTTATATGTGTACAGATATTTTGAAGTCATTAGTCAGCCAAAAGAAAAAAATAAAAGGCAATCTCATGGCTAATATCTAGGCACTTGGGGACAAGAAATGCTTTCCTCTTCCCATTCTTAAACAGCAGCATTCCTTCTCAGAAGAGGAGAGGAACAGCCTAACGATGGGTGATGAGTTCCTTGGCCCAGAGAACCTGGCTCACAACCATGGCAGGGAGAAGATGGATCTCGGAGAACAGGGAGGGTCTTTAATGAATCAGGAGAGGGACAACTGTTATCCACACAAGCCCTTTTGATGCCCTCCACTGTAGACAAATACATGATTCAGGGGTTCAGAAGGGAAGATGTAATGGCCATGGGAGAGAAGCGAGTGCCAAGGAAAGTCAGAGGAGTCAAAGCACATTAAGTTATTGCCCACGCTTGGAGCAAGGGGATGGAGGCGGGCCTGAGCTGTTGGGGGAGGAAGCGCCTGCTGGTAAATGAAGGAAGCATCTCGTCCTGCACTTTGCGTCCAAAAATAGAAAACCGAGAAAACTGTCAATACCAGGGCCTCTTATTTCTAGCTCATTTTCATTAATTTTCTTCCTGCCACTGTTAAGCCATCGTTCCAGTGTGACTTCTCCCCAAATGGCCAGTCTAGCCTGGAAAGATCTAGCAGCGTAAATTAGTGCTGCTCTGGAAGGCGCTGGTTTCTCTGAGACGTAATTACCTAAGTGCAGTAATTAACTTGCTCTTCACGCTATGCTATAGATCATAGACGGCGGAGACCTCAGCAAATCCAGGCCTCTTTCCTCCCTAGAGGTGCTGTGCCCAGTTCCTTTGTTTTGACACCACACCCTTTTCTGTCTGCCTGGCTCCCTCAGACAGTCCTCAGCGCCCGGAGGCTGGAGGCTGGGTGGGCTTGGTGTCTTCGTGGTGTTTCAGCCTCTCCCTCCGACAGCAAACACTTCCATCTGCCAGGATACGTATTTCCACCTGTCTTTTCGTCTTTGCCTCTGCTAAGCTATCTTGGGTGCAGGCACGGCTGCATTCTCTGCCTTTCTTTCCGTCTCCTCCACCTCCCCCGCCACCGCCTCTCCTCTGCTGCTCGTTGAGAGAAGATTGAGCAGACCTGGCGTTGCTTGCTCTCCCTGAATTGATTGTGCCCGTCTGTTGGAGCCAATGCAGTGAGGATTAGTTGCCTGTAAACTGGAACAAGAAGAAATCTATCAAAGAAGTGCCTTTTCTAATTCGAGTCTAAAGAATTTGGTGTCAGGCTCCAAATACAATGTCTGCTGTGTGGGTGATTATGAGAACATAGTGGTACCTGCCCTCCATGCCATCCCACACAACTGACTAGTAATCTTTCAGTTGCAACCAGTCCAAGGATACTGAAGGTTGAAATCCTCCTATGACCTCTGACCTTTCTTAAACTGGTGCAGCTTCTTAAGAACGGGATCCCTACACATAGCATGTGATAAATATGTGTGTTTTGAAAAGATTTCAGTTAAATTTGAGAGGCATGGGGTTTGGTGGAGAGCAGAAGGATGAACACTACCTATTTTGCCCAAACTTTTACATCATAATATATTTTTCTATTTGTGGAAACAATTAACCAAAAAAAAAAAAAAAGGTTCTTGCCCAAAGGACCTGAAAAACAACATGGCTGAGAAGAAAATTAAGCAGAAAATGTCTTAACCCAGAAAATATTCCTGCCAGTAAGGGTTTATTCATTAAAGGATGGCAGAGGGAAACTTAATAAAAAATAAAATAGTATTTATTGGTGTGAAACTGGCAGCAAGCTGTTTGAGTCACTTTGATTCCTTTGTGATGAAGAGGACCAAATCATGGGGTGTAATAATCAGCAGAGTGAATCCTAGGAATTGTGCTAGCAACAGGGTCCTTCTTATACTGCGAAGGTGTAGCGAGTGTTTGTCAATGCAACTCTCCATGTGCTTTAAAAAGGAGACCTCTGCTACCCTCCCTCTGACTCCTGCTTCTTTTCCTGGGGTGTGCTGCCTTCACTTGGGATAACAGGGCTGGTTATATGCTTCAGGGAGACTGCACAGAAGAAAATGCTAGAGAAAAAAGGGGCTGTTACCTGAAAGTCTGCCTTCAAGAAATGTGGGCTGTTGGTATTTTAAGGCTCTTAGGTCCCTCAGGCAGCCTGGACCCCTGGGGGTGATGTACTGGGAAGATAAAAGCATGGCGGTAGCTGTGGACACCGTGTTTTTTGACAATAGGTTTCATGCTTCATTTACCCCCAAAGCAATTAGAGTGTAGTCAGCAGCCACAGAGCAACTCACCATTTTTCGTGAGCAGGGAAAGGGCAGCGTGGTGGATGCTCGCCCAGTGGCCAGAGCTTAAAATGAAGTGCCTGCATTCCTTGTTTTGGTTTTTTTTTTTTACGGCTCTCTTCTTCCCAATCGCTGGTTTAAGAAATGTCCGCAGAGTCATTAAAGGCGTCTTTTGATCTTCTTTCCTCTTTCTTTTTCCTCCCTCTCAGTCTCACCCCTGGAAATAATTGTGTGCGCTGCAGGAATGCTAAACTGCCTCTTCGGGGGGGCCGTTTATCCGTTGTGACAGGTCTTTTGCAAAGTCATTGAGCAGTTTTGCCGAGTCAGCCGCTGCTCATCTCGATTTGTATCCCTCCACTGCCTCTTGCTCTCAGCTGAGCAATCCTCTCTCCACGTGCCCCCCCCATTAATAATGACAGAGGCTCAGCGTTTCCAAGCTGAGCCTTAGCAGTAGCTCAAGATCTCCCTTATTCTCCCAAATTACAGCCCCCTCGCATTAACTGTGCCTCCCCTGAGCATCAAGATCACTTAGTTTAGTCCTCACTTTAGTTTGATGAGAGAAACAACACTGAAAAAATAAAAATCTTTTGTAGACTTCAGAAAACCTAATTATATTTTTAATCATAAAAGAGACACGATCTTCATTTTTTTCAAAAAAACCATACAGCTTTGTCTTTCTGCATAGTTTCTTTCTGAATAAGAAAATATAATTTGGAAAACGAACAAGTGAAAAAAACCCCACAAAAACAAAAACCCTGTTCTTGTCTTGAATCACCCATAATCCAACCACCTGTAAATTACCATTGTCAACATTTTGGTGACAATAGATTATTTTTTCACTTATGAATAAATAGATACCAACAAACGCCGCTCAATGACAATGTATAGGAGTTCCTTTCCTTCCAACTTTATAAATTCTGCTTTTTTTTTTAAGAATAGATTTTACTTTTTAGAGGAGTTTTAGTTTACAGCAAGACTGAGAGGAAGGCACAGATATTTCCCGTATGCACCTGTTCCCCACAGATGCATAACCTCCGCATAATCGACATCCTCCACCAGAGTGGTGAATTTGTGACAACTGATAAGCTAACACTGACGCATCATTATCACCCAAAGTCCAGGGTTTACATCAGGGTTCACTCATGGTATCATACACCTAATGGGTATGGACAAATGTAAAATGATGTGTATCCATCACTGCAGTATTGTGCAGAGTAGTTCCCACTGCCCTAAAAAATCCACTGTGTCCCGTCTTTTCATCCCTTCCTCCCTGCTAACCTCTGTCAGCCGCTGATCTTTTTGCTGTCTCCATGGTTTTGCCTTTTCCAGAATGCCGTGTAGTTGGAATCATACAATGTGTATGTAGTCTTCACAGATTGGTGTTTTTCTCTTAGAAATATATATTTTAGTTTCTTCCATGTCTTTTCCTAGCTTGGTAGCTCATTTCTTTTTAGCACTGCATAATACTCCATTGTCTGGGTGCACCATCATTTATTTTATCCATCCACCTACTGAAGGACATCTTGGTTGCTTCCAAGTTTGGGCAATCATGAATAAACCTGCAGTAAATGTCTACGTGCAGGTTTTTGTGTGGACATATTGTTCAGCTTATTTGGGTAAATACCAAGAGTGTGATTGCTGGATTGTATGTAAGAATATGTTTAGTTTTGTAAGAAAATGCCAAACTGGCTTCCAGAGTGGAAGTACTATTTTGCATTCCCATCAGCAACAGGAGTTCCTGTTGCTCACCCGCATTTGGTGTTGTCAGTGTTCTGGATTTTGGCCATTCTCCTAGGTGTGTCATAGTATCTCGTTATTTTAGTTTGCTTTCCCTGATGACGTAGAAGGTGGGGCACCTTTTCATATGCTTCCTTTGCCATCTGTATATCTTCTTTAATGAGGAGTCTTTTAAGGTTGTTGATCCATTTTTTAATCAAGTTGTTTTCTTATTTGGAGTTTTAAGAGTTCTTTGTATATTTTGGATAATAGTCCTTTATCAGATGTGTCTTTTGCAAATATTTTCTCCTGGCCTGTGGCTTGTCTTTTTCATTCTCTTCACGATAACTTTCACAGAGCAGAAATCTCTAATTTTAATGAAGTCCAGCTTAACAATTCTTTCCTTGATGGATTGTGCCTTTGGGGTTGTAGCTAAAAAAAATTTGCCAAAACCAAGGTCATCTATATTTTCTTCTACCTCATCTTCTTGATATACTGGTTGCTTTTGCATTAAAATGTTTGCAATTTCTCATTGAAAATGGAGTGCTGTTTTAATTTACAATTTGATCTTTTCTGATATAGATCATATGCTGTTATATCAGAAGTATTCCTTTTCAAAATAAATTTCCTGGGAATATCTTTTGTTC